TCGGCTCTTTCATGGGGGGGTGGGGGCCCCGGCTCCGCAGCTGCGCTTGCGCCCATCTGCAGCAACAGGCGCCCAAAAAAGTGCAGAAAACTTTCCAGACGCAGTGGATTGAGAGCTGACTCATGGTTTGTTTACATATCCTTGCGACCAATTCAACGACAGGGCTTGGTGCATGTGGCGGGAGACGTACAGCATGCGGTGTTCTGCAAAGAATGCGGCTGCAGGGCAGCCGCCGCTGTATGTACGTAATCAGAGCTAGGCAACAGCAGCAGCATCGCCCGCGCACAGCGGCGCCGTGCGAGTGTAGGGTGCAGCACTCGCGTCGGCACCGCACAAGCGTAGCGATGCTGCATGCGTGCAGTATTGTCGCCCGCGTGCAGCAGTATTGCAGAGGAGGCTCATCAAGGCAAAAGGCCAGCGGCCGCGCGTCCAGTGGAATTGCTGCCGCCGCAGATTGGGATGAGATGAGGGTCCAACGCTCCCTGGGGTGCAGAGGGCGCCCGCAACGCCCGCGCTTGATACTGGAGACGTGCACGGACAGCGTATGCTCACAGCTGGCCCGCGCGATCGAAAGGGTCGTCAGGGATGAACGCGCACGCCACACGCACGCTCGCACGCACGCGGCCGGTAGGCGCCGCGGTGCCCGGCAACGGAGGGGGATGGAGGTGTGCGGGGGTTTCACGTGACGGCAAAGGCTTGATAATAGGCGGGGACCTGCTTTTGCGGGGATGGAGGATGTGAAGGCAGGAAGCACCGCTGAGGAAGCTGCCCGGCAGCTGCAAACATCTGACGTCGGGCGGCAAAGGAAGGACCCAAATAAGCAAGCAAGCGGCGGGAAGGATGGGCGGTGGCGGCGGAGGCAGGTCGGGGACAGGAGGCAGGGGAAGGGTTCCACCCCCAGGGAGAAACAGCCGGTTCTTATTGCAACCAGGTGGGATTGCGGATCGCCAGTAGATACCCACAAATCAGCGCAGTAGATACTCACAAAACAGCCCAGTAGATACCCACAAACCAGCCCAGTAGATACCCACGAAACAGTGCTGTTCAAAGGCCGCGGTGTGGCGTGCGGCTTCCGCCTCTTGCACAGGCGTGCGTTGGTGATAAGCAGCGAACGGCTGCGTTTGGAACGGGGTTGCATCCTGGAGAGGCGCAACGGCCATGAAAAGGGGTCCGGGTGCGTGGTCCGGTCAGCGGCCGGGGTGTCCCCGTGCTCTCTTATGAAGGCAGCCAGGCATGGGGTCCGACTGCCCCTGCCGCCCAGACAAGGCAGAGCCACCGGGCAGTGAATTTTGTGAACTGCATGATAGAAACGTTTCTATTCGTAAACGAGCGGCTGCGTTGTTTGGGATGCAGCGCGGCCGCCGCTGAGAGCAAGGCACTGGAGGGGGGCCGACGCCGACGGCGTGGGCGCCGGCGCATGCCAAAGGGGATGGGCGCACGGGGTGCGGACGGTTCGTGATCGGCAGGGGTGTTCATGTCTTGGTGTGGGCGGCATGCGCGAGGTTAGATGATCCTGAGGAAGAGCAGGCCAACGATTTTGGGGCGCTTGGGGGGGCGTCACCGTGGTGCCCCGGCCTTGGGGCGTTATCCAGCAGTCATGATGACGAGGACAGACGCGCGCCGGGCGTGAAAGGGGGGTGCTTTCTCCTGCGCGGCGCAAGGTGCGCGCAGCAGCAGCAGCAGCAGCAGCAGCAGCAGCAGCAGCAGCAGCAGCAGCAGCAGCAGCAGCAGCAGCAACAGCAACAGCAGCAGCAGCAGCGGCAGCAGCACCAGCAGGCCGGACAGGGGATGACAGCCGCCGGCCGTGGCTGCGCGCCGGGCCGAGGATGGGGCTGCCCAGCCGCAGCGGCGCCACGGCGTTGGCAAGGTATTCGACCGGCGGCTTGGTACCCGTGGATTGTCGCCGCCGCGAGGCTGGGCGATAAGGAGTGCAATGCAGCGGATGACGCTGGGCCGGCGGCGCGCCCCTCGGGCTTTCAAATTCGGGCGGGCGCCGCTCGACGCTGATGCGTGTCGGCGCTTGGCCGACGGGCGGCAAGGGGGCCGGCAAACCCCTGTTGGGGGGCGGCGGCCGGGGCCCAGTCCCGGGTGACAGGCGCCTCCAAAGGGCGCCGGCGCCGGCCCGTGTGAGACAGCCCCGCCGTTCAGTGTCTCTTGATCTCCTGATCAGCATAAGGAACCCAATAAACAGAATCTCTTGATCTCCTGATCGTCACAAGGAACCCAACATGCACGCTCAGTGGAATAGTGCGCTGGCATGGAATCAAAGCTGCAAATTTGGGCCGGCGGCCCGGGGCCCCCTCAAAACCCCGCGCGCCACGAGACCGCAGCCCTCGGCAACTGCGGCGATTCGGCGCCGCCGCCGCGACGGCGGGGTGCTGCGTGGTCGAAATTGTGAAAAGCAGTGTGTATTTGACATAGTACTAAATACTATATCAGCGGCCGCGGTGGCCCTTGGACGCGGGGCGCGCCGACGGCGGCGATACCTGCAGTGGGGCGGCGGCGAGGCTGCCTGTGCCCCGATGCTTCACCCAAACACGATCCTGCGAGCCGTAATACAAACAGACGCGACCTGCCTTGAAAGGGCGGTTCAAAGCCCGGGCCATGGGCCCGATCCCTGCCGAGATCAGCAGCTGGCGGGGCGCCAGATCCAGCTGCCCTGGCGCCCCACATCCAGAAGTGCGACGGACAGGACGGGCAGCGGCGCCGCGGGCGCGCCGGCGGAAGCTGCCGCGGGCGCGCCGGCCTGCCAGCCGCATCCGGGCAGGGGCAGCGGGGCCAGGCCTTGGTTGGTGCCCATGCCGCTGCTGGCGCCGCCGCCGCCCGCCCAGCTGGTGAAGAGGTCATCCGCCGCGCCATGCACTGCCATCAGCGCCGCCGCCGCGTCCGCCGCGGCGGCGAGACGCGTGTGGGTGACACCGTGGAAATCCGAGAGCGCGGGCGGGGCGAGGGGGGCGGGCGCCGGCGCGTTCTGCCAGGCGGCCGGGCCGCAGTCCTTGACGGCAATTGCATGGGTGACATATGCATTTGCGGGAGCCGGCGGCAGCTCATGGGCCGCATTGCTGTGCAGCCAAGCCGCCGCCGCCGCCGCCGGCCCCGCATCGATGCTCACAGCACAGGGAGCCGGCTGCGCGAAAAGCATCAGCGGCGCCGCCAGGCCGGGGCCCTCTGCGGCGGCGGCGGCCGAGGGGTGTGTGGGAGGCGGCGCGGCGCAGGCGAAATCGAAGGGCAGGGACATGACAGGCGCTGCCGCCTCCACGATGCCACTGCCAGAGGCCCACTCGCCAGGCGCAAAGGCAGTGCCCATCTGGTCGCCGGCCGGGCCGGCCGCCGCCGCCGCGGCCGCGGC